ACATCCAAATTATCTCTACCAATCACCGAGACAGCTACTTGTAGCAGCTACAACAGCTGAGCACCACTGAGGTGCCTACCTTACTGCGAGTGCGTACATGGTCGCTAGTCTCCAGTGATGGGAGAAACTACTTCGATTCCTCACGCTCGTCCTCTTTCGACCGCTCGTGCTGCAATTCTTTTGCCGCGTGGCTCTCATACTCCTCCACCAATAAAATAGCATTGTTGTTAGGCGAGAACTTTCGCACTTTCTCCTCACATCTGGTACCTCGGGAGAACTTGTTCAGCGTCGGGTAGATGCGGAGTGCTAGCTTAGCACTGCTAAGCCAGCCTGCATCTTTCCTCGATAATTTCGATGTTCGCGAGGGGCATCTTTCTGCAATGACCAGTATTTGCTCAGACTACGGAAGAGCATATTGGTTCGCATGCAATAGGCCACGTAGGGATCAGGATGTGTGTATGAAAGCCACGACATCTCGCATGGGCACCACTTGGGTGCCTGCAATACAGCACTGCACTGCAAATGAGTGATCCATGCTGATCCAAATAAGTGATCTCGGATCACTCAGTACGAGTGATTCCGCCCAATACGAACTACCATGTAAACACAAATCCTCTCCCTCGTCCTTCTGTGACCATGTGCGAACTGCAATGATGTGGAAAATATGAAAATCCAACGAACCCTTAACGAATGTAAGTCTTTACTAACGACCTACTACCACTTACAATAGTCCATCCATCATTCTCCCAGTGCTGCAACTATACTTATCTATAGCGACAGAACCAAAGAACTTTGCAAAATAGTCACCACTCAGAGACTTCGAAACTATAATGCAATGCTCAACACAATCACCAACAACCCACCAAGGTTCGACTCTCGCGTGCGAAATTTCAATTTCTTCCTCCGATTGTAGAACAGCAAAAAGTTGCTCCATTGCGGGGTTGTCCATTTGCAAAGCGACAAATTGCTCCTCTGAAAAGTAGCAATTTGCTCAATAGTGGAAGGAGCAATTTATCGGTTTGCCCCTTCTTTGAGCAAAATTGCTCAATTTTGTTACATAGTAGCACTTCACATAGCGGCAACGTTTATATATTCTAGCAATTTTCTGAAATATAAACAAGCAAACGATATTCATTCGAGCAGTTTCTGTTATACAAAACGGCAAATTTGCGTATTTGTAAAGTGAATTTTGCTACTTTGCTCTTCTGTATATCAGCCATAGCGTTTTTACACACTAGCACAACAGCAAAAGCCGCAGGGAATATACATTCCAGCTAATTAGCACTTTTTTGCTATTTGCTCCTTTGCTATTTTGTAACTGAGCCCCTGAGTCTGCCTCCAGTAAACTAGAAAGCCTCCCTCAGCACCCCCGCGGGATGGCTGTAGAACAGCCGCTGTACTTTCACCATCGTCAGCCGCACGTGTCTTACCAAGAATGGTTCTCCGAATGCCTCCCCAATGGGGATCCCCATCTTTCCCTCTTCTCTCGTCAATCGCTCCCTTCGATGCCCCGATTCAGCTTCAACTCCGGCTCCACTGCTGGTCTTTCTAGTGACGCCGCCAGTGCCGACATCGTTCCGCGTAGACTAGCTTGTGCCCTTGCCCGTCGTCCTCACATTGTTGATATGGAATTCCGGTCCGGAGTTTCCGGATGCTACCGCCAGAGCTGACCGTCAGCTGCTGACGAGAGGAAGCTAGCTGTATCCTCGAGCGCGGGATCATTCAAGATCAGAAACAACTGTGAAGAGGCAAACGTGGGAGTCCCACGGTGGGACCGAAACTCGTGACGAGTTACTCGTTCGCCTGGCTTATCTGGGCGGTCCTTGGTGGCCACAATCTCGATATGACGATCGAGCATCATGCTCTGAGCATGCCCAGGGTTATTTGTACATACATCTTTTCCCGTGCAAGTTTGACAAAAATGCAGCAGCAATGTCCAAAATTAACAAAGTGTATTCATGTTTGAGACAAGCAGACAAAATCGAGTGCAGGTCTGGCAATAGAGATCCAATTTCGACACATCCGTGATTCATTGTTGGCGGGATCGACA